AGAGCTAAGTAATAAATGAAATATGTAATTTTGAAACATGCTAAGAAACATGTTTCAAATAATTATTTAGTTTAATGGATATATCTTCTTATATTGATATTCTATTTAGTCATGGTACCTGGTAAGTACAACTGATGAATATATACACTTATTACCATTTCTGAAACTTCATATTTTATGTCAATTAGTATTCTTGTAACGAATGGAGTATAATAAGAGAAATCTGTTTATAAACGATGTTATCAAAATGTCAACAATTGGCAGAGGACTGGATTGTACCTAATAATAACGATTTGTAGAAGATGTTATTCAGGCGTGAAGGTGATACTGTATGATGTCACAATTTATAATTTGTTTCTTTTGAGTGACGTATAATGTGTCAGATGGTGGGAGGCGGAAGTTAAAACCCCACGCCTGTTAAATTATAGGCGATACTAACAATTCTTCCAATATTTCACCACATTTAAATTCCAATGGAAAACGTTTTTATGATATTGTTTTCATGTCCAATCGTTCAAAATTGTCAAGAGAATAAAAGAAATCCCAGAAAGACAAAGGTATTATTTTTATTTCTATAGCTGCTATCTGTTGTATTAAGATTTTGAAATTAGAAATAAAGAAGATATTTTTGGTTCATTGAAATCCAAAACTTGTGTCGTGTGGAGACTGTGTGACGTGATAAAATGGTTTTGAAGACGCCAAACATTAGTTATCAGAGTTGTACGATGTGACATCAGTAGTGCATGGAATCTCTAAAAGGCGTTCCCCTTCACAAATACCATGCCTTTAATCTTGTCGAAGGAAAGAGGCACACCCTAAAGGAATACTACCTCTTCTAATGGACATACAATTTAAAAATGTGTTTAATGAGACTATTATATTCATCAGCTGGATTTACCAGATGTCATGACTAAAGAAAAGAATTTCCATATAAAGACGACACATTCATTAAACTAAATAATTGTTGAAACACTAAAATACTTAGTTTAATGAATTATTACTTATTATTGGATTATTGAGGGATTATGTTGTATGCTGTTGACACCGGGTATGTCCAATGATGAACAAAAACTCATTTTGGCCAAGTCTAAAAATTTCAAATAATAGTATACATATAACTTTGCAAAATAATCTTTTGGTATTTTGTATTTTAATCTTACAAAAAGTCAAATGAGGCAAATTTGTTAGTGAAGTAACACTACGGAAATATGCCAATACGACAATCTGTCAGTTCAAATTCCACCTTTATCATTTCAACGCCAGAACGTTTTGATCGATAGAAGCAAATTCAAGACTACAAAAAGTCCATCTTGGAATGTAACCAATATCTTTTGAGTTGACAATAAATCTAGTTTAGGTTGGAATAGAAAACAAATTAATCTTGAAATTGGTGCCAAGTAAAACATAAGAAAATACTTGCGTAAGATTTAAATTTACTTGTTGACGCCTGCAATAACATGATGTTTAATAATTAGTCAGATATATATAGATTTATTAACAGTTTCACATAACTAATTGTCTTATAACACATTCTTGTCTTCTTAATATATACACAGTTATGATAGCTTACCACAACATACTCGCAGTTAAAGAGGCTACATCACTACAGACCGCAATGATTTTATCTTCGTTAAAAAAATTACAATCACAACTAAATTAAGTGCAGTTATAGTTTGCAGGAATTCCTTATCAAGCCAATTTCATTCCACTTGCGTTGAATTTGTAGTAGTTTATGAGTGTGAGTTGCATTTATATTAAATAGGAAACTGAATGTTATGGTGACATAAAATGCGTTGATCTTGAAAACTTTATAAGCAAATAAAGTTTTTAAAACAAAGATTTTTCCCATCAAAGACATGACTGTAAAAACAAAATATGTTTCACAATATTAATCAAATTGATACATATTTTATATAATTCACTCATCGTACCCCAACATAACTTCTTATACTTAAAAACATCATAAACTGGTGGGATTGAAAAAAAGGATTATAATGTGTTAATATGTGTTATATATTGAGTTGTAATGAGTTTATATATACATGCAATTGATTTATATAGAGATGAAATGAGTTTATGTTAAGATGTTATAACTTTATATCGACTTGTAATTAGTCTGTTGTAATGAGTTTAGAGTTGTAATTGATTTGTATAGAGATGAAATAAGTTCATATCGAGTTGTGATGGGTTAATATTGAAGTTTATTGAGTTATAATACGTTTATATTAAATGGAGTTCAAATTGAGTTATAGTGAGTTTATATAGAGTTGTAATTGGCCTGTATAGAGTTGTAATGAGTTTAGAGTTGTAATTGATTTATATAGAGATGTAATAAGTTCATATCGAGTTGTGATGGGTTAATATTGAAGTTGTATTGAGTTATAATACGTTTATATTAAATGGAGTTCAAATTGAGTTAAAGTGAGTTTATATAGAGTTGTAATTGGTCTGTATAGAGTTGTAATGAGTTTAGAGTTGTAATTGATTTATATAGAGATGTAATAAGTTCATATCGAGTTGTGATGGGTTAATATTGAAGTTTATTGAGTTATAATACGTTTATATCAAATGGAGTTCAAATTGAGTTATAGTGAGTTTATATAGAGTTGTAATTGGTCTGTATAGAGTTGTAATGAGTTTAGAGTTGTAATTGATTTATATAGAGATGTAATAAGTTCATATCGAGGTGTAATGGGTTAATGTTGAATTGTATTGAGTTATAATACGTTTATATTAAATGGAGTTCAAATTGAGTTATGGTGAGTTTATATAGATTTGTAATGAGTTTATATTGAGTTGTTGCAAATTGAGTTTTATGTAATTTCTCTATGTGAAAGTATTGAGAATAAAGGAACTGACGCTATGGTATAGGAAACAGCTTTAGAAAGATTTAGCCATCTAGTCTAAAATAGATGAGAAAGTCAATGTAACTCACTATCGTGAGCAGATTATCTGTGAAATACATTGAACTTTAATTAATGTACCTTCCAGTATTTCTACTTTCATGCCAAGTTTTGGTGCATCTTTTACTAACATGGATATCTAATTTAAGAGTTTTATAATTGTAGATGTGAAATCAGTTTTAAAAAATTCAAACCAAATTTTAAAAAAATAGCGTAGAATCTATGTTATGGAAATGTTCCAAGTCAAATAAACAATTTTTAGATCATTAAAACATTCACAGTGGGTAATTAGTTTTATTTGGCTTAAATAATCGTCATAACAATTCTTTAATTATGTGTGGAACAGTTATCTTCAGGCATATTGTGATTGTTTCGATATGGAAAGTGTTTTGTTTAATTGACCACCGTTTGATTCAATGAAATAATGACGTCAAGAATGTATGAAGATATGATCAAACATTATTAGTTATCAGAATAAACAATAACATGAAGTATGATTGATGAGCTATTTCCAGTTTGGTCAATGTGACGATATTGAATATTTTTGCAGTTGCAATCCGAAGCGATTTAAAGACATTGCAAACCTGTTTTTGAATTTGACCTTTTAATTGATATGCATGATATAAAATCTGAAATTGTTTAAATTGCATGAAATTTCACTATTTTACACAGTAACTTCCATATCATCAAAATATGAACTCAACAAGTAGGATTTAATTTGACCTGATTCCTTTATAAATTTCCGGTTTTGGAATTGTTTATCATCACGCCCGAACTGTTCAATCGATAAATGTGCTATTTGAACACCATATCATGTTTTTCGTAAGAAATGCATGGCACTCAACATGTTAGTGTTAGCCATGTGAGATAAATTTATTATGGATAATATCGAGTTTGAGAAGATTAGAAATAAATTCCTTGTAGCAGGATACTGAAAATCGATTAAGTCTTGTTTTTAATGTATTTTGATATGACATGGTTTTGATCCTACACTTTTCAATATCATGCTTAGCAATAATGGTTCTATACGGGTTCCACTAACTCAATTATGTTTGGATTATTGGACAAAAAGTTGTGATGAGAAGCAAGAGTGTTGATATTCAAAGGCATGTTCAGTTAATCCAAACAAACCTTCTCTAATCATGCATCATTCTATACAAGATACAAAGCTGACATCATTAGTAAATACTGGTAAATTGTAACGAGAACCCTATTGTCATGAAAGCAATGACCGGGGTCACTCAGTAGCGGATTTGAATTTGTTCAAAGGTGATTTAGAATTAATTTATATCGTGTTCCCTATGAAATATAGAAGAGAGGAAATCAGAATCCAACATATCATATATCCAATGTTGTTTTGAAGCAAATTCTAGTATTATTTGTGTTGCAATCACAGAATATCATTGTTATATACGCTATGAATGTGATTATATGATCGTTTTTAGAGATTGTCTACGGAAATAATTTTTAATGTATCTAATTTTCTCTTAGAACAAGACGAAATTAGTTTAGACGTCATAGTATTATAGTGTACTGTTACAATTTTAACAGTAGTAGGCTGTTATTGGACAAGTTAGTCCGCCCTTGAAATTTGGCGCTTCCAAAAAAACATGATATTGCGCAAGGCAGAATTGAATATATATAAGGTGATAAACAAAAGCTAATAACAATTTCGTTCTCTACTTACAGGAAAACACGATTTATACAGCTGAAGTAGATACAGATATATTGTTCAACGAGTGGGAATTTCGTACTTTCATCTATCATGTGGAACGAAGACAACGATAAATATTCCAGCCTCTCGAGACGGCTTTTGTTCTATTAAAACTTTATAATTTACTAGAAAAGTATCTTAACTTAAGTAAAACGACTTGAAGACGTGAATTATCTTTTCAAACTGTAGACATTGGTGACAATATGGAATTAGTGTTTCATTATTGACTGACATCGTCTATTTAATAAGGATATAAAATACGTCTTTTACTAGATATATATTTCAGTATGTCGAATTTAACGTGTGATGTTATTCTTGCGGATAAAGCCGGGCCGCCACCCTTCTACTCAGCTTCTGTCCGCTACATAATCAGTGCTATATTAATGTGCGTTCCTATTACAACTATTGTTGGGAATGGCGTGGTGATAATTGCATTTTTTACCCATCGTCGGTTACGAACTGTTACTAATTATTTTGTGGCGTCGTTGGCTATAGCCGATATTGGAGTAGCAGTCTTTGTGATGCCATTTGCTATCTATCAACAACTGAGTAATAAGAACTGGACACTGGGACATACAATGTGCTTAGTGAATACAAGCTCAGACGTGATGTTATGTACTATTTCAATATTCCATTTATCTTGTATGGCAATAGACAGGTATCTGGCTATATGCCGACCATTTTTACATGAACGTATGACAAAAAAGATTGTTTTGCTAATGTTACTCGCTTGTTGGATTTTACCTTTATTCATTTCTTTTGTGCCAATTATGAACGAATGGAACCTGATTGGCATAGAAGATTACTATGATTGTCTGTTTCCTGAAGGAGCTCCAATGTGTGTTTTTGTCGTTAATATTCCATTTTCCCTCATCTGTTCGTCTTTCGCTTTTTACGTTCCTGTTGTATTTATGATCATTTGTAATGTGAAAATCTATATGGCTGCCAGACATCAGGCCATGCAAATTCGTAGTTTAGATGTGATGGGACACAGCAAAGGAAAGGGGAAATTTAAACAGGAAACGAAAGCAGCCAAGACATTAGGAATTATTATGGGCTGTTTTAGTGTCTGTTGGTTTCCATTTTTTATATTTAATGTAATCGACCCAATAATTGGCTACAAAATACCATATATTCCATGGTTGGTAGCTTTGTGGTTAGGTTATATTAATTCTATGATGAATCCTTTCTTATATTACTACTTTAACAGAAGTTTTAAAGCCGCTTTCAAAAGAATATTCAAATGCCGCATATGTAAAGGTTTCAGTGAATACGAAGACGACTATGTGTCCGGTGTAACAACGGGGTCCGAATGACAGGCAAATGGAATCCACGCATCAAATTCAACGCACATTCATTTACAAGAACTCACTTGAAAGAGTCGGTATGTAACTGGCAAATAATAGACAGCTGAGGAAAGAGTAATTAGCTCTGGTGCCAGAACCATAATACCTAACAAACTTTCTAGTAAGAATAAACATTGGATATAAACATTATACATTCAGAGAGTTAGTTAGAACTTGTTGGCTATTTATTTTTACACTTTTGCTCAAATATTTTGTTTAATGGTTTAACATGTTCATTTTTTTCGTCGTCGTTCATTTTTATATATTGTAAAACACCACATTAATACCAAAGCCCTACATATGTCGGGCTTGATCAATACCACCCTACGACGTCGGATTTTGAATCTAGATCAAACTGTATATCATGTCTGGTTTTATGTGGTTGTAATTTTATACGATACACGCTCAAAACATTCGATCCTGGAGTACTTATCCATAAACTTAAATCTGATCAGTGAACAGTTTCTGTGTGAAAATAACCTTCCAGAATTCAACTTGAAAGAGTTTTTTTATTTAAGTGGATTATTTAATGACGTCACTGGGTCATTCAATGTGACTTTGAAGGAATGAAGTCAACGATATTGTGCTTTAATCAGATTGTCGCATCTTCATACTGTCGCGTATTGGTGAACTGTTTTGTTACAGATTTCCATTATTTCAGGCTTTCTTACTATTTAGTTTGATGTTAAGATTTGTGAAATGTTTCAAAATTGTTATAAATGTTAATTAATTAATGAATTAATCTTTTATTCATTGTGCTATATGATACATTTGTCATTTATCTTCCCAAAGTTACCGAAATTTCCCCAAAATGAAGTGTCAAGATGTCATGCGAAGTTAAGTAGAAAAAACACTAAATTAACGGTGTGTCTGTACTAGACAAGAGTGATACCTCGTCTTAAAATTCGTTTTCTGTTGTTTTTGAGCTATTTTATCATTCGACAGATTACAACATACGATTGAATCAACTACTTACCATAATATCAACAATACTGGCAGTAGATGAAAGATAAAAACTAATCTTGAATTATTCAAAATAAGTCTAATTGACTTTAAATTATCACGAACAATTTTTTGTTAGTCACAATATTATTCATTTCTCTTTCAAACATAAGTTGCTTAAAATCTATCAAAGAACATCGAAAGTCTGTATTATTAGAATATCGCATAAGGTCGGTCGTAGATGTCGACTAATGAGTAATTGCGTAAACATGGATACGATAATGGTGTGTTTATATTACCCAAATTGAAAGTTATAAATCCTCTGGACTAAGTTCGATTTTTCTTCTATCTCACAGGCATTAAAGAAAATATTACAAATAGGACTGGATCAGTTCAATGACTTTTTAGCGTCCAAGAAATATTTTCTTTTTAAATGTTCATGAAAACAACTACCCGATTACCCGAACTATGTACTTACCCCACCCAATAATCATACCTTCCTACCATTTGTTATTAACCATCATCTATATTTCAAATGTTATTTATTAAAGAATATTTGTTAACAAAGCGTTTGTTTTTTTCTTGATCTTTTGATAGAATGATGACCGTTCTCAGCTTGTCCTAAACACTTATCAATATAAGATAGTGTTTTACAGTCTATATATCTTACGTGCCTCCGTGTGTAGGCCTACGCACAAATAATAATCTCTTACGGGAGTAATGCATAAATGCCTATGCCTGTCCTTTCGTAACATTACTTAACCGCAATGTTACAACCTAAAATATCTACAGAAATTGGCAGAGACTACCAATCCAATTACCACATACGAAAGGAGAACACATACATCGCAAATTATCATTATGCTACACTTGAACTAACGAACCCGGTCATCGCTACTCCACTAGTATATTAAAATCACAAATTAATTTTATGAAGCTGGCAGAGCAAGTCAACATTATTGGGAAAACATTGCAGGTCACCCTTCAAGGTGTTGTACGGCAAAGAAATATCGTGTTTGTACGCATTATGATACTAGAACCAACAAACATGGGCTTCAGAAATTTCATTCCTCCACTTGAAAGAATGAATGAAATTGAACAGGTTACGTTACTCTAGTGGAATACCGTCACACATTAAAAAAAAATTCAGAATCATTATCTTAAATTCATTTTCTAATTTTATCTATTGAAAGAAATCTATTTCTCGTTAATTTTGGATCGTTTACTAATTTTGATAAATTATAGATAGTTAATTTGTCTCGCACCTAATTTCAATATCTCACTCATATTATATTTGGCTCGTTTCCCTAGACTTTATGTAATTTCTTGTAAATTCATGAAATATTTCACAGATATGTCGATGAAAAATTCAAACGAATCTCTTATCATTTGTCTGAATATTGACCCCTTCCCACTTTATTCTCCACGTGAAGGTTGCCTACAATTGCTTGATCATTAACTCTATTCACTAATTCGGTAATCATAAGAAAATTATCGACTTCATGCTGAGATAAAAGACACATTTTATGATGAAATTATGGCTCTGCTCTATATCTTCCAACAGTAATGTAGGGAACAGATCTATATCAACTAGAAACTATACAGAGACTATGTTATATAAGAGATGTATGGTCGACACTGCTACGGAATTGTCCAGTGAATTTACTATTCCATCTCGGTGAATTTCAGATTTAAATTCTTTCATTTCTCACGCGACCACCTTTATTAAGCAATCACCTTCAATATGCGACCATAGTTTGCGATATCAGCATCCGCTGGAAGCGAACGTTAACTTGTCATCTACCTACCTACCTACCAATATGCGACCACAATAAAATCCCCCTACCAGTTTTCAATGTAATTAGCGACTGATAAGCGACCATCTTCATTACGCGACCAGCGACCGTGTCTTTACACTCCCGTGTAATCATATTGAGTCAATTAAGCGACCATGACCGGTGGTTGTAAAATTCCGAATTGTCCGAATTTGGTCAGAAAAGACAAAAAAATCGAAACTAAATTTGTGCCAAAGGTCGTGCACAAATTCGGGAAGCAAACCATTTTACATCAAAAAACGAATATTTTTAAAAGCTTTACACCCACCGGACCATGACACTTATTAACTCCCTTGATTAAACATCACGTTGTTTCACACATCGGTGAGATTAATCGAGATTATCGTTAATCGGTCTAAGGATTAATTTTATAGCTTGTTAATGATTAATGTCAGTCTTTTATCAATATAAAAAGGCAGCTAAGCAAGAGCCATTCATTTTCAAATTGTCGAAGCCTACACGTAAAGTTTTAGGCCTAACATTAAATGAAAGGGTCAAGGTCATCAACTTGGCGAAAGCTGGGAAAAGTGGTCGACAAATTGCCGATGAAACAGGTGTTGGTAAGACACAATATCATCTATATCATGAGTCCAAACATTCAAAATTTTAATATAAAAATGCACCGCTACCAATTATTGAATCACAAATTACAACGAATTTTCTAACAAGCTGTCACCAATGCTTAACTGCAGGAGTGATTTTACAGTCGAGCAGTAATTACTATATTTTAATGTTATTTAGCTTGCCTTCAGCTATATAGTTTGTAGTCGAAAGGTGAAACCGGAAAGTTTCATTCAAAGGATTCGCCTCAATACTCTTATTCCTAATAAATTGAATGTAATTGATTTGAAAGTACTGTATCAGGTAGTTATGAGAGGAAGACCGTTAGACGACTGGTATAGAAATACGATTTATGTAGGCTGGCCAGTTATCACCGTGGGATGAGCGAGACATAATGAAGGTCGTAGTAATTCTAACTAAATCTTCCAATATTCCTGATACCAAATAGATTTCTTGATGAATCTACGCCCACAAAGCAATCGATCTAGGTTTTTTAACATCATTTGGCAAGTGGATCATCATGACGGCGTTAAATGGTCCTACCTTGCTATATTACTTATGACTTACTATAAGTCTTCTAAGAAATTTTTAATGGAAGTATAATCTTAGTATGTCAGACAGTAACCCCAACCAATGTTGATATTGGGTAATGTGAAGTAACAGTGCTTAAATTAACCTAGGTATACATAAAGTCACCAATCTGTCTAATAACAGATCAACAATGCCCTGAGCAGTACTGATGACAATCTGAAACCATGATGTTCACCACCAGCTTATGTCAATGACGAAATTGGCCTAATCAATATCTCAATATCATAAAAGTATTATTTTTACTTCCAGTATCAAACTTTATAAGTAGATTGGGAAAGCCATTATGTTGTTTTTGGTTTTCTGGTTTCGATTTGTGGTGCGGATCGTTTGTACTTGGTTTTATTTATATGTACGATTTATATACTTGCAATATTTCGATCATATGACAAGACCATGAATCAGGGTCCAGGTCCCTAGCCTGGTAGTAACAATGGCCATGACTGAGATTTTGAAAGGGTAGCCGTGCATGTTGATGATTAAAGTCATTTCATTGTTTTGGCACATTAAATGTTCGACAAATTGTGTCCCTTTATTTAGGGTTCATCGAACATGATGGTTATGTTATTTGCAGAAACAGACTAACGGATCCAAGTGAGAAACACGATTAGCAAAGCTATATAGTTTCTGCAAAAGGCTGAAAGTAAAATACCCTTTAAAGCGATGTGATATGGTGGTACATGACATACACCAAGCCTAACCATTTGTTTTCCACCATTCTTGAACTTGGCACTTCAAAAGAGTCTTAAATCAGAATTAATGTCGTAAGATCTTAACCCCGCATCATAAATCTTTTAAACTAGATCTGTTATTTCAACACACAAACTTTACGTTGATAAATACATGCCTGTACATTTATTTCTCTATAATTTTTCTTACAAACGGTTTTCTATGTAAAACTCAGTTGGAATTAGTAAAAATAAATCTTACATGAAGTAAATGACAAATCAATGTTCTTTTCTTTTCTTATCAGACTCTATCGACACAAAAATGTTATAAATCAGTTGTGTTGATTATTGTCTGCTAGTGAAGGAAATTTTAATGACCTTCTCCTGAGATTTAGAATATAATGTAGGAGTTGGCTTTCATTTAACGATGTTTACTGATTATTTTTTTCATTCCCCTTGATAACGGATAAATCTGCACACGCACCAGATTTTATTAGCAGAGGAAATCTGTCGACTTGTATAGAAAACCACGTAATAGCGATCAGCACATACAAATATGTTCAAAACTCGATTACATGTGTAATTTCAACGTACTATTCAAATAAATTGTGAATGAAACTTCATCGACAAGTCCTGAAGATTAAAATTAGAAAGGATATAGGGCAGATTCCAAGCGTACGAACCATCATCCTCTACTAGCAAGCAGATTATGACACCATAGAAGTGAGCAACCATTGATCTCAAATTGAGGAAATGCTACTGAATTATGCTTGTGTTTTTCAAAAATGTGTGCAAGTGACTTGTTCAATATACAAGGAAGTCACCTTTCATTTTAGTCCGTTCTAGAAAAGAAGTCAGCTCTCGACCACACCCAAGACCATAAAGTCTGATCATAGCTACAGAGAACTATGCTTGGCAAAATGATCGTTTTTTTTTAAAAAAAAAGGTAAAATTGATTTAAGGATCTTCAACACAGAAGGAAGGACATGCGCTTTGGGTATAATGCCATTTGGTTTCGTATCTACCGTATTGCAGGCTATCCTGGTTGTAATTGTGCCCTCTTATACCGGTCGCTGGTACTAGAAACTAGGTTTATTAATATGCGGCTATATCTCTATCAAGCAACTCAATAGTAACTGGGATTTGACACGTATGCACATATTACATCTACTAACCACAAAGTCTAAAAATTACAATAGATTTAACAATTATCGTGCTAGACGCCATCATAATATTGTTTTCTATTCCGTTGTAAACATGTTTCAGTCGGTGAATGGCAATGATCATAATCTCGTCAACTTATTTACAACTTACAAGAACTTCAAACGTTGGATGGGAAACTGGAATGGCATAGGTAGAATCTTCGATGTTCCAAATACTTATATGTATATAAATATATACGTCTAGAAATCTTCTTTAGAACATTCATGATTTAAGAGACATTGGTGTTCGTGATATGAATCATTAAATAACATACAAAGTTACTGTCTTCGCACATTCGACGGTAAATCGAATTTTAACGATCGTTTAAAAGTTAATTTGAATATCGGCGTAATTAGGATACTGACTGTTATAGAATATTTTTGCGTTGTTGAAATATAAATTTTATACGTTTATACGGCTACATTGAGTTACACACTTCCTTCCTAGATATTTATGACTATCAAAACATTATTTTAAAGCTGATAATCCAATTCAGTAAAATTACCGACGAATTTATTTGAGTCGGGTATAAGTTTCAGCAGCAAGAGAAACATAAAACTACGTCAACGGACCATACAAGCCTTGTATTTATTCAGTGACGCTATCTCGTTAACCTAGATAGTTCAATCCAGGCATAGGTTGCTGTGTGCTGCGGGCCATGCACGTCAATGAAGCGTCGATTCGTTCAGATATATTACGGTACTTTGCTTTACACATACATTGCGTGGCGGTCTCGCCTTCATTTGGCTAATCGAAAGCTAGGTTAGTAGGCTAATGTCATTGACCTAACAACATTTCCTTGGGTGCACACTGCCTGATGTTGCCCGTTTTCATTACTTATCTACTTAACTTTATCTCCTGTCATCCAATCAATAAATTTCTATTGCAATGTTTTATTCCATCGATTGTAACTAAATGAAGGGAGATAATAATGTTTTATCTCATAATTGTAGAATAAGACAAGTAAAATATTTCTATGGAACTTAAGGAACCAAGAGCCACCACATCGAATGTAATGAAAAGGAATAAGCTTACCCTATGGCTCAGTGGATAATATATAATGAAAACCGATATTAGATGCGAACAATATATTGGAAGTGACCAAAATTTCATGTAAAACAATAGTTACTATATTTTATATATAAGTACATTAAACGGTATGTTGAAAAATATGAATTCAATAATGATAATACAAACTTTTTGTTTGATACATGTTGAAATTATGGGATGATGCCCCTTTCTTTGCTACTGTGGACTGCGCGATTCAATCATGGCATAGAGAGCTTTGACGATGATCCGCCCCAAGGAAAGCCTTAGACAGCAACCAGTCCGATGTTTTAATTGTGATCTGTAGTCTTGTAAGAAATAAAGTAGTTATCGCTTTTAGTGCGCCATCTTACATCATCTTACAAATTATTTGAATCAAATCTGAAGTTGAGTTTGTCAAGTTTTGATTCATTAACTTATCTGATATGTTGAAAGGGTGTCTTGGAACCAGTTTTTAAGGTGTAACGATTTTTAACATAAACAAGCGAAATAAGCAGTCTTAAGTGACTGAAGAAGATTTCCAAAATTCGAGTTTTAGGATAGAAATATAAGATTGGTTCGAGAAAGTTCGAGTTATGTACCTTACCTTCTTAATTAAGTTCGCCAAACCGTCAACAGTTGACCACACGAAAAGTGATCCTCGGTGATAACGACGTATAAGCGATGCACACACATTATATAAGAAGACATTCGCTATTTTCTTGAAAATGAGTTTGAGAAGAAATGAATATGGAAGTTTCAAGCTTCTTATTATCGTCAGGGGACTGTTACCAGACACAATTATGTCATGTATTTCAAGAGTCTTTTGAGATCTAATTAGGCTTTCCGCTTTAAACTTCCTTATGTCAATGTAGGAAGGAAAATAGTTGCTAGGATTCCTCGACACTTGAAAAAGGATAATATTTCGAAAACCGGTTCGTGTCAATTGCGTAAGTTTTTGTTTTACTTGTTATAATTTTTCACATCATTGTTAGCGTTATTTATCACCTAAATATATATTTTTGCCTTTTTTCATCATAACTCTC